GGGGGGGGGGGAGGGCACGAACGCTCGCACGAACGCACAGGCAGAGTTCGGATTCCAGCTCCAGCAGCAACGAAAATCAAATCAATCGCTCCTTACAAAGTCGATTTGAAAGTCGCGCGGGCGGAGGGGGGAGGCTGAAGAATGCCAAAGCCACGCCTCCCCTCCCTCCCCCTCCGTCACACCATTGCTAACCGCAGCGGGAGTGCAGTGCGAGTGTACCGCGTGTATACCTGGTGCTGCTGTAACGTATGCCACGCCCGCAGGAGAGCCCGCAGGAGAGCCCGCAGGTAGCGGTAGGCACAGCACGCACAGCAGGTGCATTGCACGACACGGCGCCGCTCGTCGTCCTGTCCTGGCCGTCCTGGCCAACTCACGCAGAGCGAATGGAGGGGGGGGGGGGCTGGACTGCTCAAACTACATGAGGACAGCGCAGGCAAGAGATATGCCCATACTGACGCCGGAGCCGCAATAGCGTAAGAGCTAGAAGAAGGCACCGAAGTCCGCGGCCCGATCCCAAAGAGTCAGAAATAGACTTGCTAAACCTTCTTCGCGAACGGAAAATCACGTCATCCCGCCTTGTCTCGAACAAACAGCTCGTCGAGCGCGACGAGAAAAGACGCCCCCGCCCCGCCATACCCCATACCCCGCTAGTGGCGCCGGCGGCAGTGTGTGTGCGTGCACCGGCTCCCGGGGGATGCCCGCCGCCGTTGCCCTTCCCTGGTGCGCGAGTTGGGTTGCCTCGCCTCCGGGCGCGGCCCGCGCGGGCCCCGCCCGTGCGGTCGGTTGGGTTGCCTGCCCCGCAGGCGTCGCGCGGGTGGGTGGCAGGAGAGCAGGGCACGGCTCCGGACGGCGTGCACACCCCGTCCTCTGCGCGGCGAGAGTGTACAACGCGCAATGATCGCGTTGGCGCGAATGCTCTCTTCATATCGATTCCCCAGTCGCCCCCCGCGGACCCCCCGCCGCCGCCGTGCCCGACCACACACACAAACCACTCCAACCGACCGCCCGAGCGAGCAAGAGCGCATCGCGCCCGCCCTTTTCAGGCGCGAGCGAGGTAAACAAAGCCGTGATGCACCTCGCGCAGCACCGCCCATTGCCGAGCGTCCACCTATCACGCGTCCACTCACACTCTCCCGCCCCACCGCCGCGCGATCCGATCCGGCCGCCGCGCGACGACGACGCGACGCGAACCATTCGAGATTTGTTATTTTTCGCCGGCTATCTCGATGCTCGCGCTGCCGCCTCGCGCGCTTGAACTTGAACTTGGCGTCCGCTGCACTGCACCTGCCTGACCCCCCCGGCCGGCCCCGGCCGGTGCCCGGGCCGCGTCCGAGGAGATCAGCCGCGCCGCCGTGGGTCGCGGCGGGGCTTGGACGCGCGGCGCGGCGGGCACTCCGCACGCGGTTCACCGCGCGGGGAGGGGCAGTCACGCCCGCCCGGTACGCCTCCACACGAGCTGCCGTGTGTTATACATTTTGCCCCTCGCCTTCGTAAATCCGTTCCGACGCCCGAGTGTATCGATGACAGCGGCCGGCCGAGCCGCCGCCGCCACCAACGCCAGGATGGGAGCCCGACCGGGGGTCACTCACTCGCGGAGCGAGGGGGAGTGGCGGACAACGGCGAACCCGACATACGCGGACACGCGGACAAAACGGGAGCAGGGGCAACGCAAGAAAAAACAAAAATCGAAAGTGTCCGGTTGTTTAGTTGTACAGAACTCGCCCGCTCCTACTCTCCAGCTGATTACTCTTGACATTCAGGAGCGTCCTGCCCGGTGGTGGTCTTGTCTTCCCTTCCCCACGCGTGCGTGCTGCAGCCCCCGCGCGCGCGAACAGGAGCGGCGGCGGCATGACCCGGGAACGAGGCGCGAGTGTCGCCTTTTTCGGCAGTTCCTCCCTCTGAGCGAAAAAGGATGGGCAATAAAACTGGCGTTACAACGAGATCACGCGCACCGGCCGGCTGCTTCCCCGCCTCCAACGTCGTCGTCGTCGTCGTCCCGCTCCAGAGGGCCTCGTCCACCGGCCATGAGGCGGTCGAAGGCGGCGGCGGTGGGCCCCGGGCCGAGCGCCACTGCCTCGTCTAGTTATTTCGCCGGGTTTGCAAATGACATGCGCGTGCAAAAATCACCCGCCTAACTAGCCCCTCTCTGCCACGGACCATGGCTAACGCGCGCGCGCACGCGCTGCGTTTATGGAACAAACGGGCAAGTCTCTCCCAAATTCGACCTCGACAAAACGAAATGAAAACCAGCTCTCCGAGCTGCTCTGCCTGTTAAGAAGAAATGGTCTCGCATAATAATGCCGTACGGTTACACACACACGTAGTGAGCAAACGATGAGACCCTCCCCCGCCAGCACCCCGCCGCCGTCGTTCCCTCCCCAGCACCCTCCCCTCCCACCACCCCCCCGCTCCTCCACCCGACGTCGTCCCCGTCTGCTCCCGGCTGGATCGCACTAGGAGGAACTCCTCCGCCGCGCCCCCCTTCCCCTCCCGGATCCCATCCTATCCCATCCTATCCTGGCCGGATCCCTGCCGGACCCGCCTCGGCCCGGCCCGGCCCACAGAGCGCTGTGCCCCGCGATGCCCGCAATTGTTATAAATGGGTGCGGGGTCCGGAATCGGCACACTCCCCTGCGAGCCTCGTCCTGGACAAGTGCATCCTCTCCCGCGGACCTCTCCCTCTCCGGCTCGTCTCCAGCAACATGTTCGCAAAGGTGAGTACCCGAAGGGTTGCCCTGCGCGCATGCCCTTCCAGCAGATTGTTAGACATTCAGCAACCGCAACGAAAAAGAGATCTTTAAAGGGAGGAAAAGGTCCACTTGAGCTTGATTAAACTGAGCACGCAAAATATGGGATCATTGTCCTTTGGTGAACGACTTCAGAACAACGCCATTATGACGATCTTTCGCACGCAACTCATTTGGAGCGTAATACTGATGCCGCAATTACTTGCCATCATCAGTGTTATGGCCACGTACGACTATTGAGAAAACATTTTGACGTGCCGCTTTTTACCTCGAGTTTGCTGTCAGTTTCTTAGAGTTTCGAAGGGCCTTTGTTTGTGAGTGCTGCTATTGGTACTGGGAAAGTTTGGCTATCCGTCCTTTTTAGCCCCCACCACTGGTCCACTCTGTACTCAACGTACCTCACTCTGCCGTGTATCCAGGGCTTCGTGCTTCCATTACTAAAAATGTTTGTCTTTTTCAAACTTGTAATCCACGATGGTATTTTGGTAGTGTAGTCGGTGTTGGTGTTTTAAATCGATAGAATCATTTTAACGAATTACATTTTTTGACATTTTGATATTTACCAAATTTTCCACTCGTTAAGCTCGTCTAATTTGGACTAACCAGCAAAGTGTGTCCACATTATGGCCGCACCACACTGAATGGCTTGATAGATCATTATTGCAGGATAGTTGACTGTTGAAGGTGAATTTTCGGATTGTTATTATATTTTCTTTTCTCATTCACCCACCATAAAATGGGGCTTATTCAAAAAGAACAAAAAGGTCTCAAAGCTCAAAACGTTTGCTTAAACGTCCTCTTTTAGCATTCCTTGCCACTTTTAAGCTCACCTGCACCCCAGGCAGTCGCCGGCCACCCGGGCCTAATTGTCGCATATAGTGTCGTCCTGTGGCTCGCGCCGCCGCGCCTCCTGCACCCCGCCACT